TCTGTGCTTTAACAAGTCCTCCAGATGATTCTGCCTTAAACTCAAGTTTGAGAACCACCTTTCTAGGCATCCTATGTATGTAATGAATTAATTTCTCTCCTACCTATCTAGAATGGTACTAGTTATACACCATTCTTGAAAGAACTGGGAAAATAGTCACTCAAGTCATTTTCTGTTCTGTAGTTCAGATGATGGACCAGCTGAAAAATTCTGTAGGAACCCAAGCACTCGTGCACTGGCTGTATTTTAACACCATCTTCCATAATAGCCCCCAGATGGAAACATCTTAATGTACACCCACAGAAGATAAGTAACTTATGGCACAAATGCCCAAAAGACAGGCAAAATATACTGTTTAGGGCTGCATTCTAGGCGGCGAGAAAATGATTATCACACAATTTAGGTTAGGGTTAATTCTGGGGGTAGAGAAATGGGTGTGACCAGGAGGCGCTCGAGACGCAGTGTGTTTTCTTGAGCAGGTATGTTCACTTTAACTGTACCTATGCATACATTTTGGGTACCCTTTTGTCTGTACACCTCACAATAAAAAAGAAGGAAAAACCAGTGTGATAAACACACTAAAAATAAAGTTATAAGCCACAACCTGGGAGAATCTATGTGTATTATTTGTCATCAAAGATTAGTATCCAGAATATATAAACAACTACATACTTTTTTTAAAAAATAAATTTATTTATTTTTGGCTGCACTGGGTCTTCGTTGCTGCAAGCGGGCTCTCTCTAGTTGCCACAAGTGGGGGCTACTCTTTGTTGAGGTGCGCAGGCTTCTCATTGCAGTGGCTTCTCTTGCTGCGGAGCACCGGCTCTAGGGTGCAGGCTCAGTAGTTGTGGTGCATGGGCTTAGTTGCTCCACGGCATGTGGTATCTTCCTGCACCAGGGCTCGAACACGTATCCCCTGCATCGGCAGGTGGTATCTTCCTGCACCAGGGCTCGAACACGTATCCCCTGCATCGGCAGGTGGATTCTTAACCACTGCGCCATCAGGGAAGTCCCTACATACTTTTAAAATAAGAGAAAGACAACTCTTTCTCTTTGTAGGAAAATACACTGGAAAAAATGGCCAAAGTATCTGTGCGGGCATTTTACTAATAATCAGGGAAACAGAAAACTAAAACGAGATGCCACGACACACTATCAGCCCCCTGCCTGCTCGCATGTCTGTGAGCACCGTCACCTCCTCCACCGTTGCTCACTGGTGCTCTGGCCCACAGTGGGCCCTGCAATCCCTGCTCAGGGATACCTGCTCCTATGGGGCAGGGGACACATCAGCCAACTCTCAGTGGGAGAATCCCCACCCAACACGGTCCTGTGCAAACCTCAGAACTTCTACAGTATTAAAAGAATATATACCATACCAATCTCAAATATTTGGATTATCTCACCAATTTTCCCTGTTGGCAGTAAGTAAAGGGTCATTTAGGCAGCCTTCCTGAAACAGGACATGCTCCTAGGTGACTTGTCGCCTCTGGTAGCAGCTTTCAAATGCAGCTTTCTGGCCCAAAGGGAGAACTCGCTGGACACCCCACTCATGTACACACACAGTACTTTTACTGTAATGAAGTGAGTCCACTAATATTGAAACCGAGCAGGATGCTGCGGGGCCCTCCTGAGTACAAAATCCCCTCTGTGTCCCCCGTTTGTTGTTTATAGAAAGTCTTTGGTCTCCTAGACCTTCCCTGAGTTCCAAAGAGCAGATTCAAGCTGTTACTAACTAGGTGAGTGAGGGAATGCAGAAACAACGGAAAAGCAAGCCCAACATAATCTTTTCCATGATTGTTAGCTTAAAGTAATGCCTTGACTTATGACCCCAAACTGTGGAGATAATGTCCTGTGGCTTCGACTGGCTGGCCCCAAGTGGACTTAAAATTGGTGACACTGGGAAGGTCAATTAAGAACTGAAACTCCTGAACCATCACGAAGTAAATAACAAAATGCCTCAACCATTGCTTTTGCTTTCTCCTAGAAAGGAGTTAAGGGATCACAAGACCATGATTTACTAGTTTGCTTTGTAGGAACACACAGATCAATCACATTCACCAATGACAGACAAAACGAGTCCCAAGACAGTGCTGGGAAGTCTGCAATTGAAGTCTTACAGGAAAGCTGAAATCATAAAGACCCCCTCCCCTTTACTTTTTTTTTTTTTTTTAAAAACCCTACGCCGCTGGCCAGCCAGCAAGATGGATTTGAGACGAGTCTAGGTCTCCCATCTTTAGGGTTGGTGCCTCCTTGACTAATACAAGTTTCTCTGCTCCAAACTCCACCATTTCAGTTTGGCCTCACTGTGCGTAGGGCACACGAACTTGGGTTTGACAACAATATTGTTCTTTTCTATTTTTAGGAAGACGATCAAATGCTTCGGCCATTTGTACACCAGCAGTCACAAATGTTAAAGGACTTTGGGGACCTACTTGAATCCAGCTTGTGGAAACTGAAAAATGATGTTGCTCTTATAGTGAAAAAGAAGAGAGAATGTTTATTGCATATGGAATAGTGAGGATACACCAACTGAAAACATTTGAGCTTTGAGTTGGAAAGATTATTTGTGCAGCTAATAAGCTTATTTAACTTGGCTCTCAGAACTCAATTGTGGACTCAACCTAGTCAACCCATTTCCCACTCACTCAACCTATTATACCACTTTTAAGCAAAACTCTTCTTCAATTTGATTTAAAACCATGTAAAAATGAATCCATAACCAGGGTGAAGGTGAGGTGGGAAATATGAAAGGTGAATGGTCAGCACTCTGAGCTCTGGGATTGACTGCCTGGGGCTGAATCCATCACTAATCAATTGTGTGGTTTGGGGCAAATGACTTCCCCTCTCTAAGTCTCTTTCCTTACCTGTTACAGGGGAACGGTAACAGTACTTACCACAGATGGTTAACAAATATAAAAGAATATAAAGAACTTAGAATGTGCTTGGCACACAGAGGAATTGATAAGCAACTGCCGTTAATATTTTCATGATCAACAGCTCCAAACTTCAAATAAAAGCTTTTGATAAGTTTCTTGCTGTCTCACCTAGAGAATGGTTATTTCATGCCCCTCATTTTGTATCCTTGCTCTGAACAAATTTGATATTCTACCTCCACTTATTTTCTGTCTTCGTAGGTTTATTTGAAATAGGTTCAATTCATTAAGCATCGTTAAGTGCCTGTACTGTGGGACCCGTTCAGTGCAAGGGCCTGGGGTGGCAGAGATTAAGATTTACTATGACATCTGCCGGGAATTAGTCAATCTCGAAGAGATCTTGATTCCACAAAGAACTGATTGATGAGTCTTAGTTAAGGACCCACGGGCACTGAATGCTCTGGGGAAAGGCTTGTAAAGAAAACTTTTGCGGCCTTAGACAGACTAACAATAGCAGCAATAACAGAGACTTATCCAGGGCTTACTGTGTGCCAGGCACTAATCTAAGTGCTAAACATCTGTGAGCTCATTTAATTTTCACCATAATTCTATGAATTTGGCCCTATTACTTTCCCCATTTTGAGGCTTTAAAGGTTAAACAAACGAGGCTTGTCCAGGCCACTGTAAGCAGTGGGCTGATTCTGGGACTGCATTCCTCCTAACCAAAGGCCTGGGGCCTTAATATGCAGGACTGTCCCAAGGAGCAGTTTGACTGATTTGCATAAGAACAGGAAGGAGGCAACAGAGGTGACAACTCCAATACTTGCTCCCTAAAATATAAAGTTAGGGGCACTGAAACTCTACTGGCAGGAAAGGCTATCAAGGGCTCCAAGAGGAGTCTCCCTGGGAAGGCAGAGGCATCTGGGCTGGTGACTTCAGCTTACTACCAGGACCCAAGGGCTTATGGGAGGGGCTTGGGTTTTGCCTGTAGCTCAGGTCCTGGCTGAGTGTATGCACATGAACTAAAATATAACCTGTAACCTTGGAGCCCAAGTGTGGAGCTCCATGTTGGTGATGGCAGGGACAAGGGTCAGCAAAGCATCACAGAACCCAGGAAAGCCTTTGTCCTTGAGGCAGGATAGCAGTGAGGCCATGGGAAGCAGGAACGACTTCTACCTCTTGGACTGAGACTTAAAGTTCTTGGACAATTTGCTTGAGGCAAGTAAATATACTTTCTGCAAGTGAGCAGGTGGAGCCTTGGAGGGTTAGAAAGAATATCAGGACGAGACACTTATACCTCAAGCTGGAGGACAGGGTCACACAGGTGGTCACATATCAGCATCAACACTAGAGCACAACACAGCACTCGTTGCAAAAGTGGAAAGATGCACATGGAGTCTCACCCAGTAGCTCCCCAGTGCAGATCTAAGCCACGGATTCCTAGGGCCCAACCGTCACACCTCCCGAATGCAAATTCCTGGGGTCCGCTGGGGAACCTATATTGTTTGTGGTTCGGATATGCAGCTAGTCATGAGATCTCTCGCTCTTGTCCATCTTCCTGATTTTAGAGATGATAAAACCTCTTCTAAGGTCCCACAAATTAGTGCACAGCTGAGACCCGATTCGACCAGCCCTGGGCAGAGGAAGCAAAGTTAGGATGGACAGTACTATCACCAAGGATCTCCCTCTTCAAGTTAAACAGACCCTCTTTCTTCTGTACAGGCAGCACAGTTGGACCTCCCAACATGAGTAGGATTCCTATCAATGTCATGCCTCTCACTGCAGAGTAGAAACTCCATGAAGGCAATGGCTGTCCTCTTTACATAATGAACCTAACAGAACACTGATGTGTGCTTATTATATGCTAATTACAAAAGGAAAAGTCCTTTGCCTTATTTTGGGGCTTCAGTGGAAACCTGGTTAAAATATAAAAAGTAAATTAGAGAAAAATTTTGCTTAGGCAGTGAAAATCAATAGAAACTTACCAGCTATATCCTTAAACCTAAGGCACACAGGTACAGAACCAGGGAAAATGAATGATAAGCCCAATTATTAGCAGTACACAGACCACTTAGGAAGCACATTTCTACCACTACTCAAATACACAGGCACGTCCAAACACAGAACCACTGTTCAATTGACAATCCTTTATTATTAAACTTAGGTAAGAGTCCAAATTCAGTCAGTGTGGATGGGTGAAAAAGTAGGCTAATATAGCAAAAACTGCAGTTTCATTTGGCAAAGGCCTACACTATGCAGAGAAATTCATGGGGAAGTGAGATCACATTCAATATCATGGCAAGGAAAAGAGCAGCTGCCGTCTTACATGACCACCAGCCTGGGCGTGTCAGCCACAGAGAAAGCCACCCATCCCACCCTCTGATCTTCCAGCTCACTTAAAAAACTGACCTTGAATTCTTCCATGAAAAAGTCAAATATTAATTTTTTCTCACAAGCAATAAAATCACAAAAATCAGCTAAGATTTGAAACTTAGCGTAAGCTAGTACAATTCCCTGCTTTTACTGTATACATATTTTAGATTTGACAATCTTTTCCACATATAGTCAGACAGGCTTATAGAAGAATTTCCAATATCAAATTAAAAAGCTGTTAATTCATGCATTTTATGACTTCAGTTAATTATTCAAATGTTTAGACTTCAGAGCTGCTAATGACACTAAATTCAATGCCACGTTGGTTGAGTCTGTCAATCAACTTTGTTCTGGAGAAAGCTGCTCCAGGAGTGAAGACCCCACCCCTGTAAGACAATAACAAGATGAAACAGTGCACAAAGCCCAGCTCCAGCCCTTTCCTCTGCTAGTGTGATTTACTGGAGGACTAGCTATCGAATCAATGCAGAGCTTATAAAAACCTGATTCTTGATTCCATAATGGACTGGTTTTGGTTCCATTCCTAAAATCAGCCAAATGAGCAAGTAGCTATTATTCAGGAGTAAACTAGTACCCAGCAAACCCATCTAGGTTGGTTCAGTGACTAATGAGACTGTTTCCATGATACTGGTGTGTGTGTTGGAAGGGGCACACTGAGGGTGATTAACCCAAGTAACAGCTGCTGTTTATAAAGTCAGCCCTTAGACTCAGGAGGATTAAATACGCACATGGGCAAAATAAATTTAGGTAATCAATTATTACTAAAGCATAAACAAGACAATTTGGATGAAAAAGAAGTTTCTTTAAATGTAATGGGTAACATTTAGAAAATGCTAAATATTTTCAAAGAATATACAAATATTTGAAGAAAATTTAATTAGGTTTCACTTTATATAATTTTTATGTTTATTACTTACTACTGTTTCAGGTCAGACCTAAATTTATTTGTTTCTAAGCCTGCAGGCCTATGCTCATTTGTAAAGTTGGCCTACTTTTAGGGTAACAGCTATATGCTCCAGAAAGATAGTTCACTTGGTACTTATCTAGCCAGGATGCCATGAATCAACTCATGCTTGGGGTCAGGGTTTCCACTGCCAGCTGGGTATCATTCAGCATGGATTAGGGGCTCCTGCCAGTAACATTTAACTACAGGGACCTTTTTTTGAGTAGCTGACTTTGGATCTGAGTTATTTTCAGGAGGAACTGAAGCATGGCTCTCAAACTTTTCTGTCTCCTCTCATTTACTTCTGCACTGTTCCTAGAGGCCAATAAGGAACCGTCCTTCTCACAATATTAAGTTTACCTCTATCTTTGGATCAAAGGTACTGTAAATGCTTATGTACAAACCCAATGCCTGAAAACTGAACCAAGATAAGCTAAAATATAACATAAATGAAAAAGATATCTTCAAATTTGAAGAAAACCAGACTTACGCCTTAGGAAGGTCAGAGGCATCAGTTAGTAGAGTTATGGCTGCCTGGACCATGGCTATGGGGGTAGCCACATAGCCAGCTTCTGCAGATAACAGGTGATGAAAGAAAAAGAAAGTATTCATAAAATATGCATTCAACAACACCCAAAAATCAAATGGTAGATTTTATATCTAAGTATCAGTGTACAGAATTTCCTCAATAAATACTCTGTTCATGTAATAACAAAAATAACAACATTTATATAGTACTTATTAAGTGTTAGGAACTGTATTAAGAGCTTTAAATCCATTAAACTCATTTAATTCTCCTAACAATCTAGGCTAGTACTATTTTACGCTGATTTTACAGATGAGGAAACTGAGGCATAGAGAGGTTAAGAGACTCATTCAAATTCACAAAGTTAGGTAGTGGTTGGGCCAGAATCACATGCAGGCAGCCGGCTCAAGTCCACACTCTTACCAATAATCCTAGGTTTCTTGTTTCTCTATTCATACACTACACTGATCTTTATCAATCAAATACATCAAACTTCACTTTTGAAAAAAGACTCCATTTCTTAAAGAACAACTGAGTAACTCTCAAAGAAGTCTAACTTTAAGAAGTAACTTTAAAAGAAGTCTATAAACAAGGAGAACATTAGTGTTTATATTCATGTTAAATAAGAACATAGCTTTTCTTAAAAACCCAGGTGGAAATTTGAAAAAAAGGCAAGATGCAAAGATATCTTTGCTATTGGGCTTGATTAAAACTGCACAACAGACCCTCTGTGATCTATTAGGAATGATGGTAATTAAACTTATACTGTAGTTCACAAGTGGGATTGTCTCTGTACAGTTCTCTAAAATATACAGCATAAGTTACTGAATGTTTTGGAGTGATAGTTCTTTTTAACAATCTATCAAAACTTTTACCTTGCCCAGAAAAATGCACATGTGCACACACTTTACAAACAATGTCAGGGTGATCCAGACTCCAAAAAAGCTTGGATCACAGCTTTGATTATGTTATAACTACACTGCTTTAAAGTGACCCTTGACTATAAGAATAGAACAGATAAATATCAATCAGCCCCTTGTCTTCTTAATATTAAAAATTCCACTCAGAATTACTGAATCATACTGAAAGAAAAAAAAAAACAGAGAGAGGGACACAACAATAAAATTGAATGATACCAATAATTCCAATCCTTCTTTTGACAGAATTATTTATCATTATTACTTAAATAGTTTGTGCAAATTTATCTCTAAAACAAATAAACTTTGAAAAGAAACTGCTGTAATAGCATACCACTTTATAGCTTAAGACAATGTAAAACTCCCAAGCACTCTTAAGTCACATGTGAAATACCTGGTCCTTTCACCTGAGTACAAATTCTGATATTTGGTTTGTTCTTATCAGGACCAAAGCCTTGGCTGTACCCTTGACCAAAAAATGTCAACGTAAACGATGAGGCATCAATCTGAGGAAAAGAAAGCAAAGGGTTTATTAAATAAATATGTCATTTCCTCCTTGAACACAATAAAACCTACTAATATACTTCATATAAGACATTTTCAATAAATAAAAAAATCAATATTCTATCTGCCAGAATATCCCGTCATCCTTTACTTAAGCATGGAGCAAAATATAATTCTTTGACAAGTTTTGCTGACTGGAGTGATGTTGAGAGGAGTGAGGTAGTGAGGAATAAAGCTGGTACAAAGATGAGTCTTAGGTTGTGGCTGAAAGAAGAACAGCACCACCAGAATAGGCAGTTTCAGAGGAAAAGCTGGAGGTAGTTTTTATTTTAGGATAGAATATGGTACTCGGGCTTTAGCTATCTGTTTGAGGTGACAAGACAAAAAGAGTCAACAAGTAACGGCAGTATGGGCCTAGGGTATAGATATAAAATTGCTCCACTTTGAAGTGTAAAAATTTGATTCAAAAATTAAATTACAGAAGATCTATCCAAGCATCTGCACAATCACTAAATTTAGAAATAAAATAACAAAGCCATGGTGAACAAATTTTTATTAAGTATCAACCAAGGGTCAGACACTATGTTAGGTCCTGAGACATAAATAAAGTATTAATAAAATTAAAAGAAAAGAAAAGAAAAAGAAAAAGCATTCCTGGAGCTTACAGTTTAGTGTGTGTGGAAATATATACATATATATACACACACATACACATAAGAGATCTAATAACAATATGAGACATGAATCAGAAGTGCAGGACTAATTTAGCAGAGAGCATTATTAAGTTTACTAAGGAAGAGGTGAGTGCACGCGCGCGTGCGCACACGCACGCGCACACATACACACACACATTTTAATAGCGAAGTTTATTACATAGAAAAGTAAGGTGAGTACCAGAAAGGAGAAACCATTATTTAAAGGCAAAATCAGACAAGGATGCCACAAGAAAAGAAAATGACAGCCAATGTCACTGATGAACATAAGTGCAAAAATCCTCAACAAAATATTAGCAAACTGAATTCAACAATATATTAAAAGGACCATATACCATGATCAAGTGGGATTTAGTTTAGGGATGCAAGGATGGTTCAACATCCATGAATCAGTCAATGTGATATACCACGTTAACAAAATAAAGGATAAAAATCATATGATCATCTCAAATGCAGAAAAAGCATTTGACAAAATTCAACATCCATTTATGATAAAAAGTCTCAGCAAAGTGGGTATATAGAGGGGATATACTTCAACATAATAAAGGCCATGTATGACAACCAATTGCTAACATCATACTCAATGGTGGAAAGCTGAAAGCTTTTCTTCTATGGTCAGGAACAAGACACGAGTGCCCACTCTTGTCGATAGTATTCAGCATGGTATTGGAAGTTCTGTCCAGAGCAGTTTGGCAAGAAAATGAAATAAAAGGTATCCAGGGCTTCCCTGGTGGCGCAGTGGTTGAGAGTCTGCCTGTCAATGCAGGGGATACGGGTTCGTGCCCTGGTCCGGGAAGATCCCACATGCCGCGGAGCAGCTGGGCCCGTGAGCCGTGGCCACTGGGCCTGTGCATCCGGAGCCTGTGCTCCGCCATGGGAGAGGCCACAGCAGTGAGAGGGCCATGTACCGCAAAAAAAAAAAGGTATCCAAATTGGAAAGGAAGAAGTAATACCGTCACTATTTGCAGATGACATGATGTTATGTATAGAAAACCCTAAAGATTCCATCAAAAAATCAGAACTAAAATGAATTCAGTAAAGTCATGGGATACAAAATCAACACCCCAAAATCTGTTTCATTTCTATACATTAATGAACTATCAGAAAGAAATATTAAGAAAGCAATCCCGTTTACAAATGCATCAAAAAGAATAAAACATCCAGGAATAAATATAACCAAGGAGGTGAAAGACCTACATGCTGAAAACTACAAGACATTAACAAAAGAAATTGAAGACCCAAATAAATGGAGACAGTCCATAATCATGGATTGAGAGAATATCATTATAATGTGCACACTACACAAAGCAATCTACAGATTCAATGCAATCCCTATCAAAATACAAATGGCATATTTCACAGAACTAGAACAATAAATCCTAAAGTCTATATAAAACCAGAAAAGACTCCAAATAGCCGAAGAAATCTTTGCAAGAAGAATGAAGCTGGAGGTACCATGCTCCCTGATTTCAAACAATATTACAATGCTATAGTAATTAAAACAGTATGGTATTGGCATAAAAACAGGCACATAGATCAACAGAACAGCACAGAGAACCCAGACATAAACCCACACATATGTGGTCAATTAATTTATGACAAAGGAGCCAAAAATATTCAATGGGGAAAGGACAGTCTCTTCAACAGATGGCGTTGAAAAAAATGTAACTGGACTGCTTCTTACACCATACACAAAAATTAACTCAAAATGGATTAGAGACGAATATAAGACCTGAAACCATACATCTCTTAGAAGAAAACATAGGCAGTAAGTTCCTTGACACAGGTATTAAAGATGCTTTTTCTGAACTTGACACCAGAAACAGAAACAAAAGCAAAAATAAACAAGTAAGATTATATCAAAGTAAAATGCTTCTGTGCAGCAAAGGCAACCATGAACAAAATGAAAAGGCAACCTACTAAATGGGAGAAAATATTACAAATCACATATCTGATAAGTGGCTATTACCCCCAAAATATAAAGAACTAATACAACTCACTAGCAAAAACCAAACACTTGAACTGAAAAATGCGCAGAAGATCGGAAGACATTTTTCCAAAGACGACATACAGATGGCCAATAGGTGCATGAAAAGATGCTCTACATCACTAATCATGAGGGAAATGCACATCAAACCACAATGAGATATCACCTCACACCTGTCAGAATGGCTACCATCAAAAAACTAGAAACAGAGGAATGACCAAGATGGTGGAGTTTAGGAAGTCCCTGAACACACCAAAATTATAACTATATACAGAACAACTATCAATGAGAACAACCTGAAGACTAGCAGAAAATATTTTCAACAACTAAAGATATAAAGAAGAAACCACAACAAGATGGGTAGGAGAAGCAGAGATGCAGTGTAGGCAAGACCCAAACTCCCAGGTAGGCAACTCCCAAATGGAAGGATAATCACAATTACAGGCATCCTCCCCAGGGAGCGAGGGGTCTGAGCCTCACACTGGGCTCTCCCCAGCCCGGGGGTCCTGTACCAGGAAAACAAGCCCCCAGAACATCTGGCTTTGAAGGCTAGCAGGGCTTGCATACAGAGAGCTGGAGGGCCATAGGAAACAGAGATTACACTCTTAAAGGACTCTCACAAAATCTCACATGCTCTGAAATCCAATGCAGAGGTAGTAATATGAAAGGAGCCCAGGTCAACCCACTTGCTGATCTTGGAGAGCCTTCCAGGGAGGCAGAAGGGAACTGGGACTCCCTCTGGGGACAGAGATGCTAATGGGAGCCATTTGGGGGCACCTGTTCTGCCATGAGGACACTGGTGCTGGCAAGCACCATTTTGGGGTCCTCCCTCTATCTCATTAGCATCAGGTGCTTCCCTGCCCAGTAGGAGACCAATACCAGCCCTGGGACTCCCTGGGTCCTGCAGCCAGCTATGTTGGGACCCCAGTACTGCTCACCCCAGGGTGGTGGCACCAGCCTGAGCCCCCTGGATACCTGGCGCAGCATGCCATGACTTGGCCACACCTACTATCAGGCTGGTACCAGCCCAGGACCCCCAGGGCCCTGCAGACAGCCTCTCCAGGTCCAGGCCATGCCCACCAGAAGGGCAGTAGCCTCGGCATGAGGCAGGGCCTGGCAGCCATCTGGGGGCCAGCTCTGCCTACTAGTGTGCCCACAGTAGTCAGAAAGGCCCATACAGCCCACATAGGGGGCACTGCTAGAGCATATAGCTCCGGTGACCAGTGGGGAGTATGCTGCTAGGCCCCACTCAAAGTCTCCTACAGGAGGCCATTCTCCAGGATTGCAAAATGTAACTGACTTACCTAATATTATACACAGAAATAAAAAACAGAGACATAGGCAAAAGGAGCCAACAGAGGAATGTGTTCCAAAAAAGAACAAAATAAAACACCAGAAGAACTAAGATAAGTGGAGATAAGCAATCTACTTGATAAAGAGTTCAAGATAATGATCATAAAGGTACTCAAAGATGCTTGGGTGAAGAACGGATGAACACAGTGAGGAGTATAACAAAGAGTTTGAAAATATAAAGAAGAACCAAACATAGCTGAAGAATGTAATAACTGAAATAAAAAATACATGAGAAGAAATCAACAGTAGATTAAAGATACAGATCAGTAAACTGAGAGTAGTGGAAATCATCCAAGCTGAACAGAAAAGACAATGTTTAAAAATGAGAACAGTTAAAGATACCTCTAGGTACTAATGTACTAATTTACTAATATTTGCATTACAGGGTACCAGAAGGAGAAGAGAGAGAAAGGGGGGAACTTATCTGAAGAAAAAATAGCTGAAAACCTCTCTAACTTAGGAAACAGACATCCAAGCCCAGAAAACACAGAGGGTTCCAAACAATATGAACCCAAAGATATCTACACCAAGACATACTGTGATTAAGATGGTAAAAATTAAAGATGAAGAGAGACTCTTAAAAGCAGAAAGAGAAAAGCAAGCAGTTATGTACAAGGTAACTCCCGTAAGGCTATCAGCTGACTTTTCAGCATAAACTTTGCCAGGAAGAAGGGAGTGGCATGACATATTTTAAAGTAATGAAAGGAAAAACCCTACAACCAAGAATACTCTACCCAGCAAGGCTATCATTCAGATTTAAAGGGAAGTTTTACAGACAAGCAAAAAGCTAAAAGAGTTCAGCACCACTAAACAGGCTTTACAAGAAACATTAAAGGGACCTTTCTAAGTGGAAAAGCAAAGACTACAACTAGAAATATAAAAATTATGAAAGGAAAAATCTCATCGGTAAAGGCAAATATATAGTAAAGGTAGTAGACCAACTACTTGT